GCAGATAATTATATTAATTACTTCCATTGCATGTGTCTTTTTTGGTATTATTGTTTTTTGATATCTCGATTCCGTCTTAGCTCAAGTTTGAAACACTCTATAGATTACTTTTCTTCTACTTCATCACATGTTTTTTTCGACAAGCAGTCAAGAAGGGCATATTTTGTTAAAAAAATACGTTTAAATTTCAAATTTTAAACTTGATGAAACCTCGGATTACCAAGTTCTTAATACATTATCATAGTTATTTCTCTGGTTGCTAATATAGTTTGACTGTGTGGCATAATTTAACCGCCTTTGTTGTTTTGTGTTTTGGTTTGTGTTGGTTACTAATTTTAGATTCTATGTGTTTAACTTTTGTGATTGGGAAGAATGTGCAAGGCTTAAGAAGTCCTATGTTTATGTTTAGTAAGTTATAGACTCTCTTCACATTTTCTCAAAGTGGTGGCTCACGATCAAAATTAAATGCCATAATTTATTTTATATTAATATACAGGGTGGTGCCTCACATACGACGCGAAGGCTCCAAGGAGAGCGACAGTTTCTATTGAAATTAAATTTTGTGAGCATATGTAGGTTAATTTGGAGCATTTTTTAAAAATATTGAGTTTTACAGGTGTCTTCAAAAAAGTTAAGCATCAAAATTATGTTTTTTTTGTAATGGAACACCAAAGAAAAATAAAGGTGAGTTTCATTAGAGGGGCATATACTAAAATATAAAGTTTTTGGCATATTTAACATTTTCTAAAAACGAAGAACGAATTTTAAATTTCAATAAAAGCTACGTAAGTTGGAATTTACCTGGTATAGTCTAATATAAAATAATAATAATATAAAATAACTGTTGTACTTTAAATCAAATTATATCTTGACCCTAAAAAGTCACACAGGGTGAGACAAAATTAATATTGAGCATTGGTCACTTTTAAAAGCAAATTACTAATGTATTTTTTAAGTGGAACACTCAGTATATTATTCCGATACACAATGAGGAATTCATGTCTCTTCAAAATACTATTAAAGTTGTCTACCCATCAAACAAAGATTTTCCTAGATATTTTCATTTTTATGATTTAGTGTTAGTAGATCTTTATTATTTAATAAAATCTCGGTGGCTGACAAAATAGTCCAACTTCAACAACTAGTGATCATTTTGTATCAATTCAAACAAAAAAATCTCATCTCTCGAAAATGGAAACTTACCCACACCAGAAATGATATGATTCTATTAATTGCTGATTGCAGTGTGCATTCATCAACTAATAGAATGCTTAAATGCTCCTGAATTATCTAGTCTGCACTTTTTTATGGAAATATATTAAAGATAGCGTTTCCAAAACTCGACCAAATATCGTCGACAGCAGAAATAAGAGAAATTATTGTGGCTGCTGATCGAAAAAAACGGCGTCAGCGATGGCTATGAAATGAAGATCGCTGTCATTTTAGATGTAAAATTATATGGGGAATGTCAACGATCGTCATTTCCAAGCCAACTGGACGCCTTTTTTGATCATACGGTATTTTGAGCATTTGATTTCATCTAGCAATTTTTTTTCACATAATTATACATTTATATCTAGTTTTAATTCCATAATAATTAAAATACCGTCCTATTGCTGCCAAAAGTCACTAACTAACATTTTTCCGAACAACCAAATTCAATCACTAACTATGTTTTGAAGCGGAGAATCGATTGCAAAAGTCATTAACTACGATTTCTGGCTATTTATGTTTTATTTTAATACCGAATAGTTACTAACTATAACATCTTTATGCAATGCAATTCTTCTTTAGACGCATTTTTCTCGGAAGTAATAAAAAGTAAGTTAGTGACTTTTGGCAGCAATGGGACGATATGTCCGAACGTGTATCTTTCTATAACCGTATTTCTTTTTATAACCACCTAGATTTTATCAATTAATAAAGATCTACTGATGCAAAATCATAAAAATTAAAATATCTAGAAAAATCTTCGCCCAAAGAATGAATGAATTCCCCATTGAACACCGGAATAATATACTGGGTGTTCCATTTAAAACAAAGGAGTAACTTAAAGTAGCTTTTTAAAAAGTAAGCTTTTAAAAGTGACCAATGTTCAATATTAATTTTGTCTCACTATAGCTTTTTTGGGTCAAATTTTAATTTAATTTAACATAAAAGAGTTATTTTAACTAAATAGCAAGCCATACAGGGCAAATTACAATTTACGTAGCTGTTATTGAAATTTATTCTTCATTTTCACGAAATGTGAAATATGTCAAAAACCTTACAATTTAGACATACCGGGTGTTGCATCATCGGATGGGACATAGGAAATCCCATGTAAATTTTAATGGGATCAATTATTGGCTTCCCTAATTATTTTAGAGAATAATTCTATTTAGGTTTATTGAAGAGCACTAAAACCCACATTCAAAAGAATAACTTTAGATATTTTTGATTAGCTCGTTTACGAGTTATCGCCGATTTCTTTTTAAATATTTCTCCTTTCTTATGGCCCTGTATTTACTTATAAGCACCAGTCAAGGTAAAAGATAACTGTCAAATGAAGTTTTCATTTCAGAAATTTACCTATTTAGTGCTTTATTATTATTGAAAACTCATTCCTACATCGGAAATCTTAAAGATGTATTTATAAATACAAATTAATATGAATTAAAATAAAATAAAGTAATCAATTACAAGGTTAATTATAGTATTATTACAATATTCAATAACTTATTAATTTAGGTACTATTAAATTGTTAGAACTTTAGGATTTAAGATGTTCAAATATTTCTCCATCGACTGCTAGACAATAACCCAGGCGATCATAAAATTCTCTTCTTACATTCGCTAGTTGGTAAACTGAAATTCTATTGCATTCGGCAGAAATAGCGTTTTTAACTCGTCTAGATTTAGGTATTTTTTATCCTTGTATATCCTGTTTTTTAAATGGCCCCAGAGAAAGAAATCATTTGGCGAAATATCAGACCTTGCTGGCCAATTTACTGTATGATTTAGGCCAATAACGTTTCCGTTAAAACTATTGTCTAAATATTCCCTATAAAACCAAACCAAACAGCCAGGGTACTATGTGCCGGGCAGCCATCCATTTGGTACCAAACTTCCTGATTTGAAATATGATTTTCGAGTAGTTCCAAATAATATTCTGCATTTAAATTTCGCGTAAGAAACAATGGCCCGATAATATTGTGTCCGAATATCCCTGCCCAAACATTTACTTTCTGTGGATATTGCGTCCTTGTTTCGACAAACCTGTGTTGTTTTTCTTTGTTCCAATATCGATAATTTTGAACATTGGGTTCATTATTTAAAGTAAACGTGCATTCGTCAGTGAAACATGTTTTTTAAAAATTCCCTATCCGTATTTGCTCTTTCCATCGTATCAAAACAAAACCCCTGCCGCCGTATTTCGTCCCCATCTCGTAGCTCTTGGTGCTTTTCATATTTGAAGGAATAGTATTTATGTCGTTTCGAAATTCGAAACGCTGTAGTGTGATCTATTCCTATTTCATCCTCAAGTTTCCTTGTGCTGATCTTTCCATCGTTCTCTTCCACGCACAATAAAATTTCTAAGTCGGTATCATTTCTTGCATCTTCTCTTTGTTCCTGCCTTGCTTCACAACTGCAGGTATTTATTAGGGTACCTTTGGTCTCAAGTCTCTGGATATTCCTTGCGATTGTAGATTTTCCAGGTATCCATTTCATCCAGATCATCCAGGTATTATTTTGATAACTATTTCCTTGATAATACCATTTAATCATCAATACTTTTTCTTCGGTAGTGTAATTCATGGCTAATATTTTCGATGTAGGTATGAGTTTTTAATAATAATAATAAAGCACTAAATAGATAAATATCTGAAGTGACAACTTCATTTGACAGTTATCTTTTACCTTGACTGGTGCTCATAAGTAAATGCAGGCTCATAAGAAAGGAGAAATATTTAAAGAGAAATCGGCGATAACTCGTAAACGGGCTAATCAAAAATATCTAAAGTTATTCTTTTGAATGTGCGTTTTAGTGCTCTGCAATAAACCTAAATAGAATTATTCTCTAAAATAATTAGGGAAGCCAATAATTGACCCCATTAAAATTTACATGGGATTTCCTACGTCCCGCTCGACCATGCAACACCCAGTATATGCTCTTTAATGAAACTCACTTATATTATTTTCTTAGAATCCAAAAATCAATTAATATATAGGGTGTTGCATTAAAAAAACAACTTTGATGGCGCAATTTTTTTGGGAACACCCTGAAGAACTCTTATATTTTTATAAAATGCTTTCACTTAAAGTATAGATATGTCGTCCATAGAAGGATTTGAGAAGCCAAATAAACAGAGCAACGGCCATGTCAGGATGTCTGAGGCAAATAGTGTGGACAAGCCCCTCGACAGCAAAATTAAAATTTATAAGACCTGCATCAGACTAATAATAACATATGGCATAGAAATCCGCAGAATTAGAAACACAAATATTCAGACAACAATGTGGAATACAGGCAAAGAAAAAGACAATGGTTCGCACACGTAAAACGCATGGAAGAAAACAGGCTACCACGCATAGCTCTTGAAGGGAAGCTCATGGGTAAGAGATAGCCGGGAAGATCTCCAAAACGATGGAAAGACAGTTGGCAGTTCATCTCCCAAGAACTCCTACAGAGGCAACCTTCAAACTAACAGATCGACTAGATCTCAAATAAGTAGAACAAGAAGAAGAAGCTTTCAGTTAAATTCCATACGATCCGAAAATGTCATTTTGATATAAACTACCGTTCTCTTTGGAGCCTCCGCGTTGTATGAGAGGCGCCACCCTGTATAATTAGTCAAATGATCAGCGATTTTGACAATGGTCTGATGATGGCCAAATAGCCGAAACCGGTCACTAATAAATAAACTTAGACTGCTTCGACATTGCTTTTTATTAATCTCATTTAATTTTGATCTATGTTTAGTGATTAAAATCCATATGAATTTTTGTTTTCTTTGAAGGCATTAAGCGACGTGCATCAAAAACTTATCGAGGAATCATCATCCGTGGACCAATTCAGGACACTTCATTAAATGATGATGGTATATATCTTGTATATTAATTATCATTTGATTGTTTCTAATATGACGAATTATTTATCGAAGAATATATTATAAGTTATTTTAATTTATTTTACCATTAATGTAAAACTACAGTTCATACCAAATAAACTTTTAGTCACGTGATTAAGCTTGACCGGCACAGCGTTGCCCACTTTTATATATATTTTGTTTTAATTAAAATATTTTAGGAAACAAAAATAAAATAATTAACAGTTATTATTTACATCAACAAAACTCATTTTCTTAATAGGCCAGTAAACGTAGCCGAGTATTATACAGTGTGTCAATTTTAAAACTTCCCACCTTTAATATCTTTCTTGTAGTTAAAAATATAAAAAATCGGAAAGACACGTCAATTTTATTTGTAAGGGGGATACTTTAAATTAATATTTTTAACCCCCTGAGATGTCACCCTGACAATCTTAAATGGGAATGGGGGTCAAGTGGCACATCGTTTTAAAGGGCGTTTAATTATCTTTTCAGTGGTATCCTACTTTGTTGCTTTTTGTCTAGTGGTTTCCGAATAATCACCTTTCAAAATTGCAGAAAAAATTAAACATGCCTGCATTGAGATTTTGGTTTTCAGTCTAGTGTTTACACAAAAATTATTGCAATGGATCTCCTTATAGTACAAATGATTAGAAGATCACATTACACCACTTACGCCCTATCTTATATTGTTCAGAATGTTGTCCATTTTCCTGTTAACAATAATAAAGTGTGTTTTCAAGCTCCTCCCTAACATTTCGGAAAACTTCACCGGGAATTGACCGGCATTCTGCTGCAATTCGCCTTTTAAGATCATCAATATCAGTAGGTTGTGTTCTATAAACATTGGATTTAACATGTCCCCAAAGAAAGAAATCTAAGGGTGATAAATCCGGTGATCTTGGAAGCCATTCAATTGGTCCCCCTCTGCCAATCCATGCACCCGGAAGTCTCTCGTTTAACCACTGTCGGATCGGAAGAAAATAATGAGGTGGAGCCACCGTTCTGCTGGAATGTTAACAAATCCTCCTGTATAACTGATTAGAGGTTGCCACTCTTTCGAATTTAAGAAAAGAAACGTTAATGTTTATGATGTTTTCTGTTTATTAGTATTTCGACCCCCCTAGAAAAATATAATCGCTACGTCCATGTATTTGTACTACAAGGAGATCCATTGCAATATTTTTTATAAACACTAGCGTGAAAACCATAATCTCAATGCAGGCATGTTTAATTGTTTCTGCAAGTTTGAAACGCGATTATTCGGAAACCTCTGGACAAAAAGCAACAAAGTAGGATACCACTGAAAAGAGAATTAAACGTCCTTTAAAACGATGTGCCACTTGACCCCCATTCCCATTTAAAATTGTAAGGGTGACATCTACCCCTCCTAGGGGGTTAAAAGAAAAGGGCTAAAAATATTAATTTAAAGTGTCCCCCTTACAAATAAAATTGACGTGTCTTTCCGATTTTTCATATTTTTAACTGCTAGAAAGATACTAAGGGTGGGAAGTTTTTAAATTGACACACTGTATGTAAAGGTGGAAAAAATTAGTAACCAACCAATCTCAACGGGAATATGTAGATAATGATCTCCTATTTAACCCCTCAAAAGTCCCATTTGGTCCCAGTGGGGGAAGTTTGAAAAAAAAACCCATCTTGGGTTTTTTCGTTTTTTTTTAAATATCTCCGTTTGCATTACTTTTTTCGAAAAAACTAAAGATATGTTTTCTATAGAGAATTAAATTTAGAATATTTTACCTTCAATCGTTTTTTCTCTAAAATAAATATTCGTAGTAATAGAGATTTTTTTCTATACGGTTTATAAATTTTCCAGTTTTGTTTAAACCAGCTATAATTTTTGCGTTAATAGTATAGTGTTAATATAGATAAACCAAGTATAAATTTAAGCATTTAAACAATTAAAAATAAGGTTTAAATATTATTTATTAAATAAAATTATTGTTAAATAATGTAAATTAAAATCTGCTATGACGTCATCCTGAGCGTCATTTTAGCCTCAACTAAAATACAAAAGCTTCTGCAACTGATTCCGTAGCAATGACCATACTTTGAAGAACATGCAAAACCCAGTTCCCTACAAGAGCAATTTTTAGAGCACTGACTTCTTGATCTTTGCAATTACAAAAAATTAATTTTAGTAGGTCAGTAGGCGCTATATCTTCTGTTGATTGAATAGGTGTCAGATTGCTTTTTTTTATCTTTCTTCTATCCATATTGTTAAGGATCTAAACTGTTACCAATCCATTCTTGAATCTAAAAAATATGTTGTAAGTTGTAATTTTTATATTCAAGAATTGATTGTATCAAGTTAGATCCTTTACAATATGGATGGAAGAAAAACCAAAAAGGCAATCTCATACCTATTCAATCAACAGAAGAGCCTTCTGAGCTACTAAAATTAATATTTTGCAATTGCAAAGGGAGTCAGTGCTCTAAAAATTGCTCTTGTAGAAAACTGGCTTTTAAATGTTTCAAATGTTCACTTCAAAGTGTGGTCAATGCTACGGAATTAGTTGCACAAATTTTTGTATTTTAGTTGGGGTCGAAAATGACGCTCAGGATGACGTCATAGCAGATTTTATTTAATAACTTTTATTTAATAAATAATATTTAAGCGTTATTTTAAATTGTTTTAATGCTTAACACGTTAAGCCCCGGGTGGCATTTCACTGGTGCCTCACTTTAGTGTACTCCTGGGACCGCGTGATATCACAATGATGCCACACAGTAAGATTTGATTTCGGACGGCGAGGCATCAAGGCGATTGCACGCTGCTGTGTAAATGTAGTCGGTTTTGAAAATCTGCGGTCCAAAGGGTACATGCCTGTTAGCGGGTTGAGAAAATTTTAGAACCTATAAATTTTATCGCATAGTAAAACAGACGATCATTTTTTAGCAGCTTTTTTTCATTAAAAATACAGTACAACTAAAAACTAATTAGGATAAATATATTTTTAACATTTTTGGTAGCCGAATGCACTTCAAAAAAGCAAGAAATACAGACAATGGTTTTACAAACGAAACACAGGTATTTTGATCGTGGCGTTTTATTTTGTGCTTCTGCCCTACCCAGTTCTTGCTTGATTCTTGCGTAGCACATCTGTCGTTTTTGCCTTCTATCAAACGATGATTATTACTACCTATTTTGCATTGGGTACTCACGGTTCAAATAAGAATATTTCATCCTTAGGACGGGGTGGCATCAACGCGATGACTCAAAAATAAACAACGAAAAAACCTTGAAAATGCCTTTTTTCGGCGTATATTAAACCTTACCTACATATGTATATAGACCAAATATAAAGATCTGAAGCAGAAAAAAAAAACCGGTCCCAACAAAATATTTTTTTCAGTGTGACGCCGGGGCTCAACGTGTTAAATTTATACTTGGTTTATCTATATTAACACTATACTGTTAACGCAAAAATTATAGCTGATTGGTTTAAAAAAACTGGAAAATTTATAAAACGTAGCTCTATCTCTATTATTATTTATTTTAGAGAAAAAATGATTATAGGTAAAATATTCTAAATTTCTCTACAGAAAACATATCTTTAGTTTTTCGAAAAAAGTAATATAAACGGAGATATTTGAAAAAAAAAACAACAAATCCAAGATGGCGGCGGTTTTTTTTAAACTTCCCCCACTGGGACCGAATGGGAGTTTTGAGGGGTTAAATAGGAGATCATTATCTACACATTCCCGTTGAGATCGGTTGGTTACTAATTTCTTCCACGTCAACCTCCAGATTGACTGGCCTATAACAGCACTCAAGAGATATAAAGGGCCATTACTACCGCTTTCCCTTTCAAAATTATCTAATAAAGTTGCGATGAGTTTTTTACGGCTATTGAACTATCTTGTACACTTCGCAACTTGACATTTTTTACAGCAGAGGACCACCTTAATCCCCAGCGCGAAATTTAAATTCCAGTTAGTCAGCACGGCGCCGAATATGTCCATGTTTGGCAACAATGAATCTAAAAATGGCGTCCTCGATTACGTAACTAAAAGTTTAATTGATCATTAGTCTTTTATATTATTATATTAGGTATCTGTTTCATGTAATAATATTTTTGTTTCAGGCTTTATCAGAAGAATATGAAAAATTAATTGAAGAAGTAAGAACAAGTATATCATGAACATTTTTTATTATATAAGATTACGTAAGTTTTAAGATAAACATAGAAATATAGAAATTACAATGGGAAATAAATACTATTTTACTGGATTAGACATCTTTATAGTACCTTATTCTCAATTACATTTAGTACGAGAGCTAGCAAGGTCTGGAAAACAAGTATTTTAAGAAAGCTGGCTCTTTGATCTTTGATATACACATCGGGACAGGTCAACTCTGTGTATAGGATTTTAACGTGTAAGACAGTGATGTAGGCAGCTTAATGGCAAATCAAATGTATTAAAAAGAGAAAAAAGTTGGGTGGGTATGGGTGGGAACATTTCTTCTGAGCGGTATTGCCAGATTTTGCATCAAAATTTCAAACCGCATAAGTAGACGTTTCAAAAAAATGTGGCATCTAGGGTTGATCTGATTTTCAACAATTAGTTACTTCATTTTACAACTGTAATAGATTATTTAGCTTAAATATATTATTTCATTTCAGTAGTATATGAACATTTTTAACATAGTTTATTTTATTCTAATTTCTTTAAGACTACGATAATATACTGGTCGGCAAGAGAAAATCTTGGGTCGTTTATTTTAGTCATCATTTACCCACATGTCTAGGAAGTGAATCGCTATGGCAATCTTGTAAGTCGGGGAGAGAAAATTATTACCTATCCACTTAATCCGGCTCAACTTCATACGCTTGGGAAAATTCTTTTGCTCTTTTCTCTTTGTTCATTTATACAATCACAGAGTCTATAGACTCTGTGCACGACAATCGGCACCCAAAGCCGCGTGTACATTATCGGTTATATCATTAAATAAACTAACCAAAAAATATGCTGTATTACGTAGTAATAATTACGTAGTGCCATACTAAGGTGCTTATTTTCTCGAGACCAATAACGTACTATCGAAGGATTGTGGTAGCCATGTAAGGGAAACGAGCTTTCATCTGAGAATAATATATTTTCCAAAAATAAATTATTCCGATCGGCTCTTTCTCTTACAGCCTCGCAAAACTCCAGACGTCTGTTACAATCTGCGGGAAAATTTTCTTGCGTGATACTGATTTTGTAGGACTTATATCCATGCTTTTTTAAAACCCTGCGCACCGTTCGAGCATTGCTACCAACTTGTTGGGCTATATTTCGGCTTGAACAAGGTTAGCTTGTTTCGACCGCGGTACAAATATTAATTTCCTTGTCGGGAATTCTTCTCTGCGCTTTCCTTATTGTCACAATTTCTGCACGCCGCAATGCAGCCTGTTTGCTCAAATTTATGGACAATGTTGCGTACAGTTGTGGCACAAGGCACAGGGCGATCTTGAAAGGGGAACACAATACGTCCAATGACCCCTTTCACACTTGAGGAAATGTAAAACCATTTAATGATACGCACCTTCTCTTCGGTCGTATAAATAGCCATTTTTGAAACACTTAACATACACACCGAAACAGCTAGGCGAAAAGAATGATGCAAAAATAGTTTGGATCTCATGTGATCTATTTCCTTTCTCCACCCTTTCATCTACATAAAGATGCGTATTCACTATCCGAACGAACCAATGCAACTATCCAACGAGCGAACGTCTAGTCTTGTTCGGGCGGTTTTATAATTCTCATTCGTTTGCGAACATCTCTGATATACCGACTGGAAACGGATGATGGAGCGAACCGCATGCATTCGGTTTGCTATCCAAATATACCGAATTTCATTCCTTTGTTCTTTCGGATAGTGAATACGAACCTTAACATAAAGCACCGTCCCTCTCAATGCGTTCTCCCACCATGCTTATGCTTTACCTTGCCCACACCCGTAAAAACCGGCAACACTGTATCGGTCGCACCGGCTTCTCGCCGGCCCCTTTTGATGCTGTCTCTCTGTCTGTCAACCGGTCATTTATATTATTCTCTGTCTTACACGTTAAAATCCTATACACAGTAATCAAATGACCAGGTCGGTATATTTTACTGTGCTCTCTGGAACAGACTGCATATTGAAACAAGAAGATCGTATATTTTTTTATTTAGTCCGTTAAATTCTAGTATTGAATATAAATTGAACAAGTCTCCACAGCGCGCCTCGAAAACGTTCCGCCTATAAAGCGAAAAGTCTAGAGTTCAATACCTGCTCGGAGTAAATTTTTTTTATTTTATTTTCGTTTATATTCTGATAGTAAAGTTTTAAATAATTCTGGTGATTAAAAAAAACAGTCTAAGCTGGCAACTAAGCTAGATGCTTTGCCTAGACCGTTATTCAGAAGCTACAAACCTATCGATGAAAATATGCATGAAAATTTACTTCCTAGCACACGACTAGAGGATATTAGATTAGTACCATTAGTACACAGGAAGACAAGAGACGACAGTGAACAAAAAAGTCGAATTTCGCGAGAGAGACGCAGATATATTAAAATTTAGAGGTCCTACCTAGTCCCATTTTGTCTGTTGCCAAGTATATTTCTTTGAAAAATAAAAAAGATTTTCTGAAAATAAATTTATAATATAAGAAAGATATAAGTAACGTATGTTAATACGGAAATGTAAATTTTTAGTTTAGGTTGGTTCATTGGCGTAACTACCTACAGTGGTGCCCGGGGGTGCCCCCCCCCCCCAGGTACTACTGGGCACTCTCCCCAGAGAAATCCTGAATTATGACTCTTGGCTACGTATTAATTTTTATTTGCTTGTGATGCAGTAAAAATGACGTTTTTTAGTTTTTTTTAATTAATATTATTTTGTTTAGTTAGGTTAGGTTAGCTTAAAATTTGTTAATTTTTATTTTTTTAGAAAATTTGTAGGTATTTAATTAATCTACGGGAACATGTTTTGATAACCAAGTCTATGAAATTTATTGATAGAGAAATTCATGTAAACGCTTTATTCAAAAAATGTGTTTTTTTAAATTATCTTCCATTTTTAAAAAAACAAAAGCCCTAGGCCCTCCCTGGGCTCATCCCCATGCCCCCCCCCTGTCCCACACCAGGATAAATTGCTAGTTACGCTAATGGGTTGGTTTAAGTTCTTTTTTCGCAATGTACTGATAATATCAAAGAAACAGAATAAAGTTAATCGATTTCAAAGATAAACAGATAAAATCTGAAAATCTGACAACGGCGTATTTTATTTATTCTAACCTATGATTTTAGGACGCTAATCAGCTGTGCTAATCAGGCTTAAACATAAACAAATCTGATTAGTTGTTTCCTTGCATTTTTGCCTTTTTAAAGTGTGTTTTAAGAGTTTTTCGATATATTATCGTTTTGAGAGTTTTTAAGGTTTAATTTTAGTATCGTTTTTGTTGCGTACTAATTTGTAATTATTGTTAAATATGAATACTGAACAGGACACGAGTAGCAGGAAAAGACGAGATGGTGGCAATGTGTGTGCTTATAAAGACTGCAAAAATAGGTCTTATTCTTCGACAAACATAATATTTCACTCTTTTCCAAAGGATCCTGAAAAGTATTTTTATAGAAATATACTATATAATTATGTTATTAAACTAAATGTAATCTATAGATCGAAGACATAATCGAAGAAATGGTTAGAAGCTTGTAATATATTTTTACAAAAAAAATTGAGCAACTCAATTTTTTTTTACATAAACTCCACATTGTGATATTACACTTGTTCAAGTCCATATGTAAAAAAAATACACGTAAATAAAACATTTCTTACAAATCGACTTGGTTACTTTATCTTGTTTACCAACGATATACAAAATATTGCTTTTATTATCTTTATTCCCCCACAAATTTATTTTATATAATATTTAGAAAACTCATTTTTTTTGTTTCTATTTATTTCTTTACCCATACAGTAATTATAAGCTATACAGGCAAGTTTTAATAATAGTCTATTTCAAATTTCCCGCGAAGAAATTACGAAAAGTTAAAGGGACAAGCGAGCATAGATAAATGAAACAAGTTTAGATTGGAAAGTGCCCATAAGGACAATGTAAACACTATTTGGCGCTATTCTTGCAACGGTCGCGACCCAAAACTTTTGCAAAATTTCGGAGCGGTTCGGCTTTTTCCGGAATTATATCGCCAAATATTGTTTATTCAAATTTATTATTATTTTTGTTTAATTTTATAAATAAAATACAGTGTGTTGCATACAAGAAACTTTATTTTCCATAAGGACGCATGTATGAAATACCTATGAAACATTGGAAACCGATGTTATGCCACGATCCACGATGGTTTTTGCAGTTCACAGCACAGCTTTTTAAGTTTTTAATGCCACTTTTTCACAATTATCACCGGTTGGAGTAAATAAAACTTGAATTAAACTCACAACATAGCAGTAATTACTTTGAAAATGGACGCTATAAACACTTTTGGCTTCTTTTAATGAGAGCATTTAGAGATTATTATGATTTTTGAAGATTCTGACTTTGACAAGAGAAAATTATTTCTGTTTTTGTTTGCCGTTGTTCTTAGCGACCGCTATAGCAGCGCCAGATCGCGTATAACGGTCGCGACCCAAAATAATTTCGCGACCTAAAATTTTCACGGGCTTTCCAATCTAAACTTGTTGCATTTATCTATGCAAGCGAGACGAGGTCTCGCCACCACTCAAACATGAAAGGTACCGCGCGAACTGTCGTTTCTTGTCTTATCTACTTTTTGACACAAGTACAGTATCAGGTTTATTATAGTGTTTTTCTTAGCGGCGTATGGCACAGATCGTTGCCCAGAGCGAATTAAATGGTTTTACAAAGGGGTGGATCTACCCCGAACAGGGAGCTGTGGCAACACTGCCGTTACCACTTTTTCTGACGCTAGCTTGTATGTCACGCCCTTGAGTTTTGCTCCCAATGCGCGTAATGAAGTTTCACTTCAAAAACAATATTCTATAAACGTATAAAGACGATTATCTTAAAATAGTAGCAAATTGGACTTATATAACTTATATGACCGTATGACTGTGACAGTTGTGCCTGCTAGTTTAATTCAGGATGCATCCGGCCTAACAACCTTGTGTCGATTTCCAGTAATTCTATTGGCTGAAATTTTTTACAGATGAAGTTACGAAAAGTTTCAGCCAATAGCATTGCGGGAAATCGATTGAAGATTCAAGAGCGTTACGTCTAAAAAATGTAGAATTGGAGCAGGATAAACTAGTTTTTTACTTGCCCATCTCTACTACCTGCCAAAGATTAGGGAAATATACTTTTCTACCGGACGCCTACAGAGTAAATTTTCTATCAAGTTAATAGGGTCTCTGCAGAGATATAGATTTTCTGTTATGGCCTGACAGGCCTGAAAACATGGAAATTGAGGTTAGTTTGTAAATTGTTTATATTCTCCATCAAGTCAGGCAATGCTTTTGTTATTATTTATTATTAACAATTATAAACTTTTTTTCACAAAAAAATATAATCGTTCTTTCCAGGGAATGTGTTGGTTTACAAAGATGTTAATTTAATTCATTGTGTATACCCCGTTTGGGAAAACATGTTATTAACTGACTAATAAAATAGCATTGAAGTAAAGCCAAGAAATGGGTATGTAAAATTAATATGTAAAAACATACGTGAAATAACTTTTCATTGCACTTTTTATTTAGATAAATTGGCAGAATCGAAAGAAGGCTTTAATGACACCGATGAAAATTTAAGTATGCAATTTTTTATTACACTTGGCGAGCAGTATTTACAACAGTACTTGAATCATGACAAACTCACATATCTCAATTTATCCAAATGCAATTTAGAAGAGTTGCCAGAGTTCCTGGAAATCCGTGCCATACAGGAACTTAATCTGTCCCACAATAAATTGACGGAGGTGCCTTTATGTCTGTATTCAAGTGACTTATGTAGTCTAAAAAATCTAGATTTGTCATTTAATAAAATAAGGGAATTTAACAAAGAACCAAGCTGCATAAATAATATACAGCATCTAAGATTAGACAATAACGATTTCGAAAATATTCCAGACTGGTTTTTAACTTTACGTTGTTTAAATTTAGAATATTTTAATTACAGTAATAATCATGCAAATCACTACAATTTTGTAATAAACGAACCAAATCTAATCAATATGAAGTTAAGCAAACTAGAACTGAATAATTCTTGTTTAATTGACAAGGACTTTTATTGGCTTAGAAAATTTGGCAATCTCCAGTTTTTGGATATTGGAAACGAAAATAACAATAATCAAAAACACTGTAATAAGTTTAAACAGATAGAGAGATTGTTTATTAGGTCTAAATGGGAGAAGTTAGAAATTTTAAAATTAAGTAATCTAGATTTGTGTTTTTTCCCTGAAACAATACTGAAATTTAACTCTTTGAAAGAGCTATATGTTGCTAATAATCTTTTATCTTGGTTTTCAAATGGATTAGAGAACTTAAGTTCATTGGAAATTCTTGATATATCAGGAAATCAGGTGGTATTTATTCCAGATGATATTTCTTTATTAAAAAATCTTAAAGTGTTTATTGCCTGTGGCAATCAAATTGATGTAATACCAAAATTACCTCCTAATTTAAAAGTCCTTGATTTATATGATAATTATTTAACGTCAATAAATAATTCGGTGATCGAAAGCGTTCAGCTGTTAGATTTTGATTATAATTATATATGTTTAGAAGACTTAGACATAGTAATATTTAATGAATATTGTGAAAAGAAAACTAAATACAGGGAAATATATGAAATTACAGATCGAGTGTCATGTAATAAAATTCTTGATATTTGTAATAATTCAGTCTCATCAAGTGATAGTTCTTTTGAAGAAGAACATAACTATGAAAACGATAATATCCCAAATCTGGAAGAGGACTGGGATAGGGAAAATGAAATACATTTAAGATCTCATGTTACCTGGTCAGATGATGAGTTTGATGGGAATTTATACTTTTTAAATGCAAATAGTAAATCTAAAATTCCTTTTTTAAGCAATGAAGATTTATTATTTGTTGATGCAGATTGATTTAGTCTTAATTGGTATTTATTGTCTGGTACCAATATATTCTGTGATGATTTGTTAAATATCTGTATCATGTACATATTTTAGAATAATTGAATGTTTAGTATTTTTTTACATATTATTTATTTAATTTTACTGTGTGGTAGGTTAAAATTTGTCTGTATCTATTAAAATTATACTTTTTCTTTGAGTGTTGTAAGAATGTTCAAATATATAATTCTTTCAGTTAAATTGTTGTTGGTCATTCACTTTATATCCAGTTCCTTTTTGTAGTTTCTGTTGCAATGGTTATAATTTTTCTTTTTTGTTTGTCGCTCATATTTTGTATCATTTTCGTTAAATGTATGAAAGGATTAAACTCTTCCACTGCTATGTCAACACCAGTACCCTTTTCACCAAACACTATGGAAGAAAATATCAAGGCATGTGTAATTTCTGATGTTTGGGCAGCATTTTTCAGTTCCAGTAAATACTCTTCATAAGACAGTTTTAAGTTTACTTGAAACTTTTCTAGATAATTGACAAATTCGTCATAGTAATACCTGAAAGAAAATAATAAGTATATAGAAAAATATAATACAGTAGACCCTCCCCTTTTAAAGTGATATAATATTTGTTTAAGGAACAATTTTATTGAACTCTAATTTATGATTATACAGGGTCCGGCAATAGTGCATATAGGGTCTGTAGCTCCTAGAATAAAAAACTTAGGAATTTTGGATTTGGAATAAGTGCAAATCTAAAGTATGTCCTAAGATATATTTCAGCGAATTATTTTAATTTCTATAGGGTGGCTTAAAAAAGTGTAAGTGGATTGAGATTATTTTTGTTAAATGAAACATTATGTCATGGGATTTTTGGCGTCCTTTCGTAATCTTCACTTTACATAATCCTAAGATATGAGTAAATATATTTCGATAGTTTCAGAGATATTAATAAATAAAAAAAAAATACATATTTTTCAGCCTTTCTTAAAAAAATTATTAAAAATACAAGAACTGTCCTGAAATCAAAACTATGTTAGGTATTTACTTTAGATGGTCTGTACTTACTTCGCTATAAATATAGTAAGTAAATAAATCATACAGGATGTTCAAAATTCTACGCCAAACTTTCTAAAATATAAAATAATTTTTCATTGTTTTTTTTTAACGGAAAACCCTGTATATTATTTTTTTTTCAGTAGATTGAGAATTATAAAATAAACACTTTTTGTATTTATAGTATTTCAAAATTTTTAACGGTTTCGCAGATATTCGCGGTTTTAGGTATATTCCATATGGCATTTTCCACAGTAAATTTTTATCAAAGCAACCCAATGATTTTTCTCTCGTATTTTACAGCTGAAAGAGCCATACGAAATAATACTGCGTGTATCTGCAAAACCATTAAAATTTTTGAAATACTTTAAAAACAAAAAATGTTCATCTTTTAACTCTCCATCTAATAAAAAAATAATATACAGGGTGTTCCATTAAAAAAAAACAAAGAAACATTATTTTATATTTTAGAAAGTTTGGTGTAGAATTTTAAACACCCTGTATGATTTAAGTTTATTATATTTATAGCCAAAGTAGACCATATAAAGTAAATAACTAATATACTTTTGATTTCAGGACAGGTTTTTGTATTTGTAATAATTTTTTTAAGAGAGGTTGAAAAATATATATTTTTTATTTATTTATTAATATTTCTCAAGTTATCGAAATATATTTACTCGTTAGGATTATGTAAAGTGATCTGAAAGGAAGCCAAAAATTCAGTAATATACAGGAAGTTCCATTTAAAAAAATCATCTCGAAGTTAAGATATTTTCCTGAAATGGTATCCTCGAACATACATTTTGGTTTGCATTTAAACAAGATTCTCAAGTTTTTTATTCTAGGAGCTACCGATGCCCGACTCACCATTGTCGGACTCTGTAGAAGTTGCCGTATTGGTTCTATATACAGGGTGCTACAAATTCGAGGTACGAGCATTGGTATCTCGGAAATCGTAATAGATACGAAGATGGTTAAATTGGGGCAAAGTTGCGTTTTGGGATGTTCACCAAGATGCCATCAAAAAAGTTTTAAAAATATCAAGGATTGCTGAGTTTTTTGGAAAAAAGTGATTTTTTCAAAAATCAATTTTATTTTTTCCTGTCGTTACATTTTAGAAAATCAAAAATCTAATTGCACATTCTTATAGCCACTTCAAATTAGCTGATAATTTATGAGATACAGAGGCCAACTTTATTTTTTTAAATACGGACCTGCATTTTTTATTTCAGAATTTTGAAAGAAGTCGGTCTCCTGAGTACAATGATATGCCACATGTAATATTTTTTTTATTCTGACATTTGAACACAATTTATTTAAACTAATTTCAAGTCCGGCTCTATTTTTTTAAATATTTAATCTATTCATCGTTACAATATTGATTAGCATTCAAACTTAACATGACGTGGGGTAAAACATTGAATACGGAAAATCATATGCAATAAAATAATATAATATAATTAATACAAATATAATATAATATGAACAATCAAATCATTTTCCCGAAAGATGGACTGGAAATGGTAGAGCAGTATAATGTCCACGCGAGGTCCTGGACCTGTCACCAAGGGGCAGGCCGGGCATTACTTGACGTCATTATTTTGTAGAAGGTAGAAGTGAAATTAATTCATCTCAACATTTACAATAAAGAGTACAAAATGCATTCGGAAGTATAAAAAGAAAGTTCAAAGAGGTATAAATAAAATTGAATGAAAAATAAATTTGTGCCATTAGGGAGGATGATAACCCTTTCGAACATATTATTAGATCGCACACTGAGATTTCAAATTCACAATAAAAAAAGTTAAAAATCATATCTTTAAATTTCTGACCTGGATTTTATTTATTTGAATCTTCCAATTGACTCGATTTTCCTTATTCAATGTTAATTAGCGCTGATCAATATTGTTGCGATGATATAATCAGATTATAATTTAAGAACCAGAGTCTGTAGCAGCCATAACAATGTGGGGAATCTTATTTGGTCGTAGCTCTACCTGGAGAGTCAGTTTTTTATTTAAATCTTTTTTTGCGCCTTGCATATTTGAATTCGATTCTCATTTTACTCTCGCTACGGTACGCTGAAACAACTATTCTTATTGTATTCATTTTATTATCCTGTGGCCATAAAGTGTAAAACTGTACTTTTAAAAGTTAGTAGAAAGGCTTGATAGTATTTTAGATACCAAGAATAAAGAATTTTCGGAGTGTTTTTCGAAGAGTTTCTTTGACTTGAGCGAACCCCTAACCCCTATAAGAGTTTTGTTACATCTTGGCTACCCAACTACGGCCGAGTCTAAGAATGGCAGTTCGACGAACACCTCCTGCTGATAACAGTCGAAATTCACCACCCTTAACACGTCTGGGGGCGAGAAGAATGAACGAGGAGCTACAAACAACTCCCACATTTTCCCAGCGAAACGAGAGCGTCATTCCAGAACAGACTTCAAGTGGAAGACAACCTACTGGAACTGTCCGGCGTAGGAATATTTCAGAAAATGAGCGCATTCCTCTTTCGAATGCATCCAGAGGTTTGCCACGCTATCCTACACAGAAATCACCAATATATACATCGGGCATGGATTTTCAAGGTAAAAACATTCCATATTTTTTGGGTGAACAAGTAAAAGTTCCTGATTCTACAAGAATTGCACAACAAACTAATCAACACCCACGCCAACCACCACCGCCATATGATAATAGGGCCTTTAATAACTTAGATAGTTTTATAAGAAATATTGTAAATCAATCTATAACAGATACCTTTAAAAATAACAATCAACAAACTTTACCTTTTCAAATTGATAACATTAGCGAATACAATAGAATTTTAGCAAACATAGATAATGCTTCCAGAATTTCATGGTAATAATACGTTACACCCTATAGATTTTCTAGAAAAAAATAAGTTTTTATTACAGAGAAATAATACCTCATTTCTAGAAATAAAATTTTTATTGGCAAAAAAATTACAGGGTAGAGCTAAAGCGTGGAGTGAGGCATATCTTAAATCATTTCTTACTTTTACAGAATTTGAGGAAGCATATTTAAGATATTTTTGGAGCGAAACTAAACAACTAGAAATAAAATTAAAAATTTGGCAAGGAAAGTATGAAACTGGCTCTCTAGTAGACCATTTTACAAAATACGTAGCTATGGCACAATATCTCAGACCACCCCTGTCTGAGTTTGAATTAATTCAATGTATAGCCCGCCATTTTCCGGTAAATATATTTAGCGCTATAATAGGGCTAAAGAAATTGTCCGAAGTAATCCCAATACTGCAACAAGCGGAATATTATAATCATAGAACGGTAGACAGATCAAATTTTGGGTCGCGTTATGAAAAGGATAGGTTGGGATCCGAAAGAAAAAATTATGCAAATCGAAACGTATCCGCGGTGGATTTAGTGGACGATTTAGGGGTAGCGAATTTGGAAATATCGGGAAACGAGCCGAGCCACAGTCTTTAGGGCCGGAGACAACTGACAGTGGCAAAATGGCCGTAATACTAAATAAAAATATGGAAGAAGAGCCATGAGGCTCTGACTGTGAGTTTGACCATCTTAACATTGAAAATAAAAAATCACCAGTTATTACTGTTTCAATTTTTAATTTTTCTTTTCCAGCACTAATTGACAGCGGCTCAGAATTATCCTGCATATCCGGTGACGTTTACGCTCAATTGGGAGATTTTCAAGAGAAAATTCCTAGTTTTCCGGTAACGGGGATTCGTATTACAGGGGCGTTTAAAACAAAACAACGTAAAATAGCGAAACAATTGTTTCTTGATTTTAAAATAGCTAATAACTATTTTAGTTATGAATTTTTATTAATTAGTGATTTAGTTTTTCCGATAATTTTAGGTATTGATTTTTTATTTTCAGTGAAAAGTAAAATAAACTTAGAAAATGATACAATAACATTATTAAATTCTAATAAAGAGTTTTCTTTGACTTGAGCGAACCCCTAACCCTTTATAAGAGTTTTGTTACAAGTCGGACTTGATATTATTTTAAATATAATTAAATAGTCTTGTTGCTGTTAAGGTACCCAAAACAAAAAAAAGTATAAAGTGTGGCATATCATTGTATTCAGGAGACCGAGTTTTTTCAAAACCTGAAATAAAAAATGCAGGTCCGTATTTAAAAAAATTAAGTTGACTTCTGTATCCCACAAATTATCAGCTAATTCTAAAATCTAAAAATACTATCAGATTGCGCTAATAAAGTGGCTATGAGAATGTACAATTAGTTTTTTGATTTTCTAAAAAGTTACGACAGGAAAAAATAAAATTGATTTTCAAAAAAATAAGTTTTTTTCAAAAATCTCAGCAATCCTTGAAATTTTTAAAACTTTTTTGATGGCATCTTGGTGAACATCCCAATACGGCAACTTTGCCCCAATTTAACCACGTTCGTATCTATTACGGTTACCGAGATACCAATGCTCGTACCTCGAATTTGTAGCACCCTGTATAAAGGGTGAACCAGCGTTCTGAAAAAGTCTATATCAAGTTTCTGGTCGGAATAAGAGAGAAAAAGACTGGAGATTTTCACTCCAGGGTTTTATAAAATATATACCGGGTGCGTCTCAAAAGTGGCTCACCCCTGTAACTTTTTTATTTTTTCAGATAAAATAACGAGACTTGGTACGTTAGTATATAAATATCAGGATTGATTGACGTATTCAATTGTTTTTGGTCACTTCCTGTTTCACCGGAAATAACTACAACTTTTGATTTTTAAATAATGATACCCTCGGTATTTGTTTTGGTTTGGATTTGTTTTGATCTTTATTCGATAGAAAATGACATTCTGAATAAAATGACATATCATATGTCAACTTTTGACATTCTCGCTTAATATAAAATTGTATTTTAAACTTCAATCTAGAGTCATGGCTATGTTAAAAACACTAATTCTTAATCAAAGAGCCTTGGAAAAATAGATTGGATCGTCTAATGTTTTTAGTGTCTTACCCTGATGGCCAGTTAGAAAATACCCAAATCGTATTTTTAATCATATCTTTAGTCTAGAAGAACTAATTGTGGAGAGAAAAGTGAACGGGAAACGTCCTAGCGGGAGATCTCCAAACCGTTGGGTGGACCAAATGAAGACGATAATAGATCATAGCCTGCACGAGGCCAGTACTGCTGCGCAAGACAGAACAACATGGAGAGACGCAATAAATGCGATATCATAATGCCACCATACTCTTACAGAGTAATAGGAAGGAGGAGGAAGAGGAGCATATCCAGAAAATCGGCAATGGAATTCTTTCAAATTAAATATGTCGAAAACTATGCATTTTCGACACACAGTTTAAATGAGGCGAATATAGAGCTCCACTAACTTTATCCGTAGAGGCTTCACTGGTCGTTTAGCTGCTTACCGTTTCCGAGAGGAAACATCTTATTTTTATTTATACCTTTAATTTTTCTGCTGGTATAATTTAATGTAGCGACCAAATGCCAAAATTTTCGAAGTGACTTCCACGTTTAATTTCGACGTTAATATCTTCAAAATTATTTAGAATTATAAAAAGGCCCCCTAGAAAAACTCATGGGATTTAATATCTCGACCGGACTAATTAGATATGTGACATCGTAACGATTGACAACAAAGTTAAGTTCTTTTAAGACATTTTTTCAAATTTCGGACATTCTGGAACATTCCGGACGCCCGCCGTAAAAATCCGGACATGTCCGGGTATATCCGGACGTATTTTAATAGTTCCTGTTATCCGGCTAGTTTATAAACTAGTCTAAAGATTTAACTTTAACCGTAACTTACTATTATATTCTTACCTAATAAGTTCATCGAAATGTTCCGTCAGTACCTCGTTTCTCACGCTTGTTAGTAAGAAAAACACCAAATCCGACGCAAACGACTTATATCCACACATCTGGAAATCTACCAGCTTCACCAACGTTTCCTCGCCATCTTTCACCCTAATCATTATATTATTTACCCAGCAGTCGTTGTGGCTGATGGTGGACCAAGGTTCCTCGCCTTCTATATTCCAGTCTGCGGGAGTGACTATTTTAGATAAGAATGGTACCAATTTAGGTACGTACTCTGCACATTCCGGTATGTTCTTTATGGCTTCAATTAATGCGCTTTCGGGGGTAACTGATGGCGATTCGGATTCGTCGTGGGGAGGGGGCTCTTCGGGAAAAGCCTTATCGGCCATCCTGCAACTGTCAATGTAGTCCTTCAGCAGCTTAAACTTTTCGGGTTTCACGAACTTCATTCCCAGCGGGGCTGCGTGAAATAGTGATATGCGTTTGAGAACAGCCTTGGTGGTATTTAGGTCGAATCCTATGTACCGATCTTCGTTTTTGTAGCCTAAAAAGAAATCACATATTTTTAAAATTCCTTGAAAAAAGTAAAGAACTACTGCCCTACTGCGGTTCACGACTGCGCATCACATCTGTACAGGGTATCCCATTTTCGTGTAGTTTATGGTATTTCTCGTTTATGAGTAGAGATACAATGATGCGATTTTCACATTACTTTGCTGCTTTTTTTATGAAACTAAATATGCTACATATATGTTTGTATAGCCTCCTTAGTTCCTGAAATACAGGGCGAATTTCTGATGCGCAGTAGTGAACAGATGTTGAATACAGATATGATGCGCAGTACTAAACGCAACGTCTACCGGCAGCCAGACTGTCCGTACCCTGTTCAACTATTCACGAGAGGATAGCAAAAGCTATATTAAAGAACCAGCTTCTTAAAATTCTCTCCCGAAAACGTTGCTAGCTCTTAGACTATAGCTAAAACAGCGAAATCGTTATGGAATTGAAAATCTAAAAGGCACCAATCACAAGCAAATCGTATATCCGATGAACGGAGGCATGAAAATGCAATAAATTTTAAAACTGCGTAATTTTCTAAACAACCGAAGTCTTTAAATTCAACCAATAAAATTAATATCGTATCATCGTATCGTCGGATAACAGATACAAGAAACCCAAGCTTAAAGCGATGTGAAAATCGCATCTTTGTATCTCCACTCATAAACGAGATAGGTACCCTGTAAAAATACACGAAAATGGTACACCCCGTACAAAGCTATATTCTTACCTAAAGGATTTAAATTCTCTAAAACCAACACACAGTCCATATCAGGTCGGCCATTGTCCGAATTGTCTATCCTAGATCCGTAATATTTCGGGAATATACTTTCAGTAATTCCGTATTCTTCAAAATATTCGTCCCATAATGGGACGATGTCTATATACCACTCGATTTCGTTCCTCATCGATATCATGTTGATTCCAAGGAAATCCTTGTTCTGAGGTGGGATGCATTTGGCAACTAGACTTTTGTTGTTAATCTGTCCGTTTTCATCCGTTTGAACATCGACACGAAACACCAAACTCAAATAGTTCTCGCCAGGTGCCGTAAGACGTGTGATTTTGACGTTCTTTATTGGTCCTTTAATTTGTACTACTTTTTCTATATCTTTTATTTTGTACTCTTGAGTCGACATGGTTTAAACTGTAAATAAAAAGGGGAGTTTTATTATTAGTTATCATCGCAGGAATAATACCTAAAGGGTACAAACATAGTGGGGCATCTCGATGCGATGCTGGCCGCGATGCATCCTACGCGCACGTTTTAAGCACTGTTTTAAAATGGTGAGTGAGTGCGCCTAGGATGCATTGCATCGAGATGCCTCACTATGTAGGTACCCTGGTAACCAGGTACCCTAATTCAATTAATGGCAATTTTTGTATCGTTTATTTTAATTTAAATTTAAATATGTGTTACAGTAATATTTAACTACTGTTTAATATTTTAATGTGAGATAGCAATTATTGCATTCGTTATTTATTTATTATATAAGGTGATAAGGAATCGTTTTAACACTTTTCTTTATACAGTGTGCTCTACTAAGAATTCAACATATGAGATTTTTTTTATTAGAAGTCCTATCTAAAACCTAACTGTCCAAAGTTAGTGTCCGATAACCATATCTGCGGTACTTAGAATGACAACCTACAGGGTAGGCCAAACATACGAAAACCTGTACGATACAGGATAATTGATTTTTTACCTCAGCAATCATACATTTTAAAGGAAATATTTTTAAGCATTTTCTGTTATAAACTGTTTGCATTGTTGCTCCACAACAACTTTTAATGGTTGCAATATTGCGATTAAAAACTATACCATATTTTTTGGCGTAATTTATCTTTAAATAATAGATTTTTAAGGGATCTGTTGAAAACCGTAGAAAAAGTTATGACAATTTGAATAGCATTATGCTGATTTGAGGAAGCTGTATTCCGGATAGATAAAAACAAGTAAAAAAGTTTCTATAAATGTATGTCCTAAAATGCTTAGTTTCGGAGATACAGGGTGTAGAGGAGTAGAAGTTTCATTTTTATTTCGATTTTTTCCAAATAATTTGTTAATAAGCAACGTCCATATTTGGATGAAATTGGTGCCTCGGAGTTTTTTGACATTAGAAATTTGATCTTGATCTCAATGTGACTCCTATTTATAGGCGGCGCCACCTACATATATTAACTGTTTTGAAGAGTAATAGGTTGTTAACTTTGTACCAAATAAAACTACTGAGTGAAAAAATATACATTTTCGTGGTTTTTTTACGGAAAAAATGTCTCTTGGTAAAAATAGCTACGAGTAACCATTCTCAAGATACTTAGAATGGAAATAGTCAATACATGTCATTAAAAATAAACATGTTAAGTAGATAGTTATTTGCATAGATTTAGTAAGAACAGATATCACATTAGACATTTTAACCCGATCAAACAATCGGAGGTTGACTACGTACTGTAAAAACCAACTGAGATAGAGAAGGCGACATTGCCACATCTCAAATTTGCGCCTATCTACTTAGTTTAATTTGCAGAAAAGGGGACTTTAAAACCTTTACCGGATATCAATAAATCTCAATTTCTTAATTAAATTAATAGTTTATTTTTAAAGAAGCATGCGTAATAATATGTTATTAACCAGAGGATATATGCGTTACTATTAAAGGACATGTTTACTGTTTAATGTGCTGAAACGTCTAGAACTATTGGCAACGTCGCTGCTAGTCTTCCAGAATGAAATGAGCCGTCCGTCCCACCACCCCTCGCGACGGCCCTTGGTCCGTTATAGCGTACTACGTTTAGCTTACGGTATGTTTGAAGTCGGAATCAAGCCTGAAGTGAACTTTTCAGTGTTTTTCAGTAGTTTTTGCTTTTGTTTAACGTACTTTTGAATCTGCGAATTTTCAATATGGTACGACAGTGTCAAATGTGTGGAAAAATAAGCTCAAATTACCCGAATTTGTCTCTTCACAGGTAGGTATTGTTTCCGCCGCGCCGTAATCGCCGTACATAGGCGTCCCACAAAGGGAGCCTCTCACAATTAAAATAATTTCTAATTATATTTGTTGAATTTTGAGCTATTAAAACAAGAACGTAGTAGCCGGTAATTGAATTATAATTCGTCTCAATTACTACTTAACTGTTGTAGATCATAACAAATTTGAATATAAACGTTGCATTTGAAACTTTATTATAAGCCAGAAAGTGACATTTTTTTTTCTTAAAATTGCATCATATTTTGGTCATTATATACGATATTCTAAAGGAATTTTGCTCAACATATAAACAAAGGTGTTTACCCGCCCTTTTTTACATTTTATTGCATTATTATATCTGCCCCTTCGGCCTCGTTTAAACAATTTTTACCACCGTACAAATACCTCTTCCTAGAGTTATTTGTACGGTGTGTTTATCTTTTTTTAGAATGGGACGAACTGGAAATAATTCTTAGGCTACTAGTTTTATACATACCTATATACAGAGTGACCCAGGCCTCCAAAAAGCTTTTTTACCTATTACGTTTTTGGTTTGTAATTTTTATTTCAATTTTTACATAAGATGGGGGCCATTGTAACGCACATTTTCAAAATATTTTTGTCAACATACAGGGTGATTCAAACCGCAATACATATGCTTTATACAGTTCATGAAGATTGGGACATTTAACTAAAATTTGATTGTCTGATGAAGCTACCTTTAAAAAGTAATGGATTTGTAAATAAACGTAATATTTATTATTATGCGACAGAAATCCCATACTGTAGCACACAGATTTGATACTTTTTAATGATAAATTGCCTTCTAACAACAAATGCCTTCTATTGAGAGACTAAAAGGTAATTGCCTCGTATCAGAGCCATCATAATACAAGAAGAAGACCGAAAGAGTCAAATCTTGTCTTATATTTTCAAAAAACACAATTTTCTCATTAAATATTGATTTTAGGTATAGGAAGTTATTAATAATACAAGATTAAACAACTATTACATAGTACTTTACAGGAAGCTATCGATTGCGAACTAACTAAATCGTTACTAATTGCTAATTTTAAAAAGTTCTTTTAAGATCAAAAGGTAAAACTAAAACCTAAATTATCATTTGAGATTAAACGGGAAGTTCTAAATAATGTTGCCTATTCTAAACAAGAAAAATTTATTTATAAGTTTTATAACATCTCTAATTAAATTTGGACGAAAATAACATTTCTGTTTGCTGTAGATAATTTTCTCAGGGAAAATACGTAAATAAAAATGACTTTTTAAGTAAAAAAAAGTCAAAAGGACAAGTTATTCCAAAAAAGGACTGTCCTTTTCAAAAAAGGACAGGTGGCAACCCTAGGTATTTCTGGATTGGAAATTTAATGGCAAATCTACAACTTTAGTTTGAAAATATGTTCCGGCCACCTATGTTTACAAAAATGTCTAAAATGTGCTTTACCATTGCCTCCATATTCTGAAAAAAAAATTGAAAGAAAAGTCACCAGCCACAAACCTAATATAGAACTGTTTCGGAAGCCTGAGTCACCCTATAAATATTCAAAAGTAACTGAAAGTTTATATAGAATTAACTGAAAGTTTAAATTAAAAATCGACGTTGGAGCGATTTTCGAAAACTACCTACTAACGTTTCAACATAAGTATATGTGGGATATTAATTATATTATTATATTAGACCTTATAACAAAACGCATCTGACGAAAAAGTGTTAATGTAGTATATTAATATGGAGTAAACATTTTACTAATTACTTTACTTTTACTTTACTAATTAAATTCGTTCCAAAAAACGATACGCCACTGGCCATTAGAACAATCCAAATGCGCCTAGTTGCCGGGGTCGGAAATTTAAACTTCTCTGTCTCTTCTGTCCTTGTTTGACACATTGGAATGTTTGATACACTACCAACGAGTATTTATGAATGAGATGTTCGGTCTATATTTATAATGTCTTTGGTTATTTGACTGAAATGATAAGTTTGGGAAATTTTTATTTTTTTATATTAATAATAAATTTTTCTTCAAAAAAATTATGATAAAATAGTTTCTGTTGGACTTTTGGCACAAAAACATTTCAACTTTATGATTTCAGACTAACTACTATTTAGTCAACATGTTTAATTTATGTCAACGATGACAGGTATTGATAATTTCGATTCCAAATATCTCGAGAACCATTACTCGTAGCGATTGTTACCAAGAGTAACAAGTAAATATATATTTTTGTACTCAATAGTTTTATATAGGTACGGACGAAACGTTATTTCTCTTCGAACCAGTTAAAAATATATGGGTGGCGCCGTCTACAAGTAGGAGTTATATTGACATCAATATCAAATTTTTCATGTCAAAAAACTTCCAGACACCAATTTTCATCCAAATATTTGACGTTACTTCAGAAATTCCGAATCTCCGAAACTAACCATTTTAGGATAAGAAATTTTACTTATTTTTATCTGCAGAATATGCTGCCGAAGTTTCCGGAATACAGTTCGGACCACCCTGTAAAATAAATATAAGTCTATCGCAATCGTAAGTTCGAAAATTCGGCCTCTAAAATTTTCTGGCAAAAACAAAATCTCTGGCAAATTTGATTTCTCACTTCTAACCTAGTGTATATTTAGTTTTTAATGATTACCGAAAATTACCGGTCTTTGAACCGTATTTACCGGTAACATTTTACTGCGTTTTTAGCAGATTTTAACCGGTAAATCGATAATCCGGTAACGTAATCCTGAGCAATGTGTGGCTGCTGACCTGCAGTGCAACTACCGATGTGCCGTGTGTGCGAAGCAAATGGGGCGCATTTCCATATCTATCGCATGCTATCGCGAATCAAGCAGAATCCTTCTGTTTCTGATGAGGATATATATGAAATGGGTCAAGTTCTATACCTTAAATACCCCGATGATATTGCCTATGCGATTTCTTCTCAATTACTCTCCTTCAGGCAATGTTTCCGAAATAATTTATATGAAATCAATTGCATTTTTGAACTCACTAAATTTATTTTAATTAAAAACCTTTCATCGTCTTCTAGTTTCAGCGAGATTTTAACAGCGTGTCATATTTTTCTCACCCTACCTGTTTCTGTGGCTTCGGCTGAAAGATCTTTTTCCAAATTAAAGCTTGTCAAAAATTATTTAAGAAATACT